ACCTTCTCTTCGTTATATAATTCGCGGAGGATGAGGCACTCGAAGCCTCGTCCAACAGTGTTAAGGACGTTTTCTCTTCGGGAGCTCTTCCTCTTCCTGTTCAAGTTGGATGCCATCCAGAGGTCTGACGTGGAAGGATATCCAATCTGGGAGAGTCACAATCGTGGATTCTATCAAACTAACGTTCGTGGTACTCCTTCGGGTCTCCTCAATGTACCAGTAGAACACCAGAGATAGAAGAACATCTGGTAGAAGAATATCTCGCTACGTTGTAAACCTATCTGTGAAGAACCTGATGGAATGTTTCTAGTTCTACAAGGACCATAAGCTCAGCCCAGCAATGCGAGAAATATCGCGATAGCTGCAGTGAATTAATGCTGCAAATCTTATCCTGATGCAGCACCGATCAACAGGTTAGGCGATGGAAGAATACTAATGCGACGGCGGTAATAAGTTGTATCGAGAGGACCGTGGTTGAGACTCGAGACTATAAAGAACGGAAATACGTTCACTCGCATATTTATAGTACCGTTAACTAGGTTACATCGGCAACTACAGCGATCGTTTAGCAGACTTGGAAACTCTTCGGCTATGTTCGATACCGAAACATATTCCGAAGGCAACTACAATATTTAAACGTGCCGAAAGCATTTCTCTTCAAATTTTTTCGATATCTACCCCAGGCCAAAAAAAAATATATTTGTTTACATATACGTTTGATTCTATACAAGAATTTGCATAGCCCCGAAATGCATTCTAATTTTCTTTCTATCAAAGAAGCCTGTGCTTCCACGCGTGCTGCTATGCCAAGTAACGTAACCATCGAAATTAATAAGGAACCGAGGAACCTAATCGTATCGCTGTAGCATATGATGCTGACACGTGTGAACGCTGAAATCAGAGCACAATACTCGCGTGGGATCAGCGAAGGAACACACGACGTAGAAAGTCTGCTGGTTACGCAAATTAAAAAAAGATTATACGTGTCATAGAGACGTAATCGTCATTTAATTAGGAGCAGCCTAGGAGACGCGTTATCTGGATGGAGAACGCGTCCAAGATGGTGTAACGCGTTAGAGGAGTCTAATGCACCTTTCCAAGCGAACCGAAGGACGTGCTTCTGCAATTACCTCGACCGGGATGCAATTAAAAATTCCTCGTTCTCGCTTTACCAGGCCAGCTGCGTTGTTGTTTGCCACCATTCATGTTCGACGCGAACGTTTCCGTTTCTTTCACTTTAATTAGGATGTCGGGTAATGGCTGTTCGATAATACTGGTACTAACGGTATTAGAAATGTTGCCGGTATCGATGCGGCAGTTTGGTCATGATTAAATTTGTGTGTTTACACGAGTATCGCATTTTTATTTATATATTACCAGCGGCTTGTTCTCATCGTTATACCCCTACCCCGTGTTTCGTTTATTTGACGAAACATTGCGGTCGTAGGGTTCGGTTGAATCATGGCTACCTGCGCTCGCCATAAATTCTGTCCTGACGTGCGTTGCTACCCCGAGTTCCTGGCGATCGAGAAGACGATAATTTGGAAAGTCAACGCTTCAGAGCGTTCCTCGCGTATTCCATCTATTTCGGAATATTTTTGGAATTTTGGAAAATTCGTTCAAGCCGAAGTCAGGCACCATTGAAAGGTCAAATTTAAATACGCGATTCCGGAGGTATATTTCGTCAAGTATTGGAAAATGGCGTGTTGCCTTACGGATCTGGATCAATTCATAATTGACGTCCAACGCGTGTTTTCGTTCGGAGATCCACGAGCGGTCTCCAGAGGCCGTTGCACGTCTTTCTACGTAGCTTTAATTTTTCCCAAGGCCGTCGGTAAGAGAGAATGTGCGTCGACCAGTTCTCCAACTGGATCCAACGCTACCGTTAGCGTGTCCCACCGTCTCCCCCTCTTGCACAATAAGCGTCTCCAGGTCTGTTTACCTTCGCGATCGAGGCGCAAAACAGCTCGAGGGACACGGCTGACCGCAGAATCGATTCGACGCGCATCGCGTATCGATTCCCGTCGAGGCCTCACAGAAACGCACAAAGAAACGTGCATTTTAGATACGTACGGAAATTTTTCTTAAAATCTCGCTTCAACTGATCGAGGATCAATATTTGACGGAGGACTGTTCAGAGTTTATACAAAAAAAAAAAAAAAAGAAGAAGGTAATTTAATAAAAATATGAGACTTGTCTGTAAGAGACTTTGACTCGATCTTTGTTTTTCAATTTTTCAAGAAAGTCCTAGCGCTTCACCTTCATCCTTTCCTCTAAGAAAACGAAGAAGGAAGCCGTTCTATTTCATGCAATTCAAATTGACTGCAGCCTTACGTGGCAAGCGTCGAATGATCGCGAGGAACCGAAGAGAACCTAGTCGAAGAGTAACGAGCAGAACGCGAAAAGGGCCAACCGCAGTCTCGATTTCCCCTGCGGAATCTTCCCTCGTGGAAAGTAATCGCCGAGGCGAACTTTCCACACGGTAAACACGAGTTTACGGTCCACCATATCGAAACAGACTGTTTTTATCCGCGTGCGTCCGGTTCTCGGCATTTGCAGAAGAAACGTCGCCGTTCTCGGCATTAGGAAGAGCAGCTTGTTCCTGAAATTGGAAACTAGAATCGCGCCGTTTCTCGTCGGACGTTGACCCTTGGACGATCTTGCGTGTCAGGGAACACACGAGCTCTTCTGCTTCTGCATTCTAGCTGAGTTAGATCCGAGCACTGAGGGCTATAAATGAGCTGTTCGTGTTGAATTCCATGGGTTAGATTTGTGTTAAATCTATATATTAAGAAATAAATGAAATCCCTATGTAAATAGTGCGTGGGTTAGGTGTAAACGATAAGGAATAAACGAGCAGTAATTAAACTAAGTTTCAACAAATTGTTAATGTATCATTGCGACTCTATGGGGCCTGTTCTCTCGTGATATTCTAATTTAGGGATCGGTAGATGACTGGATGCTCGGATTTCTCGCATCATGGCCTCCATCCAAGCGTACGTCGCTCCTGTTTTGGGGAAATCTGTCGCGAGACCGGAAAGTCCGATTTCTTGTCGTCATGGATCTCGATGCCTCTTTCGATTCACGACATTATTCAAGGCGGATGACATCAGCCGCCGAACGGGGACGTGACTGAATTTTTTGACGATTTCACGCGGAATACCGTTAGCTACTCGCCGATCAGTGGCGACTCCTCGCTCGACACGGTTGCGCTTCATGTCAATTACGAGGATGGTGATCCCCGAGAGAAGACCCAGAAATTGAAGACCCAGAAGGTGGAAATTGTTCATTGGATGTGATAAAATCTTGCTATGCGATCGATAGGCAGAGCCAAAGGAGCCCTAGGGGGCTTGCAGAAAGCTTGCAGGGACTCGAGGATAAGTATAAGGATAAGAAAGAAAACTCTTTCCAGGAATAGACAACATTTCACACTAACTCCCCCCCTTCCCAATCCTCATCGAGATTACTCGCGTACGTCAATTAAAATAAATACTCCAACTAAACGTCAACAAACCCAAGGATCGTCCCATCGTTCCCTGAAACCGTCCGAAATCCCTGGTTCCAGCCAGCTGTCCCACAAAACGCCACCGGTTCCCCATCGCCTCGAGTTTCTCGAAACGGGCACGAGCGGGTCGCACCGCGAGAAATCGAGGTTTCACGCACACGTGGAGGGGTGGGGGGCCGCGGGTTTAAGAAAACGTGGCGGATAGAAAGGACGCGATGGAAAAAGCGGAAGAGAGGGAGGACTCACCGGCCGCTGTCGTTTGCGTCTGTGTGTCGACGTCGAGGGCCGTCGTCGATCGCAAGGCGACCCCGCCTAACAGACAGAGCACCGCGACCCGTAGGAAACATCCTTCCTGGATGGGCATCCTACCGCATTCTTCTGCCCCGTGGCCCGCAAACGCTCACGAAACGCCAGCGCCGTTTAGCTGCTACTTCCTGTCGCTCTGGAACCCCAAACTGCACCAAGCGCCACTAACGCACTGTCTATCTGCGGTCTATCCACTCGGCTCTATCTTGCCTCAGGTGTGTTCACACGCGGTTATCGAGCACACTGGCGAGCCTTCGAATAAAACGTAATGCAACGATACGAAACTGTTCACCAGGTTCACCGACACGTTGGCTCGCTCGCGTGATCCGTGCCGAGGACGGAGGTGAAGTGTACACCGGTGAGCGGGATCTACCTCCTCCTTGGCGGTGCTGGTTCGCCTTTCATTCCTCCTCTCTTGCCAGCCAGGAATTCTCCACGCTCACCTTGCTACTGGCGCGAATCTACAGGCTGGACACTGGTCTGGATAGTGGGGGTAGTTTGGCCTGAGGGGGAGAGACTGTTGATCATCGACAACTGTTGGGAGGTGCTTCTTCGTTTCATTTGTTTATAAGGCCGAAGGTGAGGTCCTCGTTTCATTTACTCTGTACCAGGCTTGCATTAAAATGTTTTTCAGGGTATACGATAGTCGTTATGTCTTTCTTTACGTTGCTCCACATCCTCTTCGACCTCTGACATCCCTCGTAGAAACGTCAACTTTTTATAGCAAGGGTACCTCGGGGTTGCTAAGCCCGTAAAGAAGAAAAGTATTATTTCATGTCGTTGTTTCAATCAAGGCTCCCTCTTAAAGGATTCTCTCGATGACTCTGAATCCAATTGGCTCTGAATTCAGTTCTCCAGTTTTCTGGACTCCGACGTCGAAACGCACGCATGGAACGCGGCGCAATTTCGCTTTCGGTCCGGATCGAAGAACAAACGTCGCGACGTTTTCAAGCGAAAGCGGTGAAATCGCGCGTAATCGTTCGTTGTCGCGCATTTTCATTGCACTCGTTTATTTTAACGCATTATCGATCGCTGCCCCGACTGAATGTTGCGAGAACGTTGATCTAGAAACCATCGGTTCGCGAGACAGTTTCTCCTTGGGATATATGGCGCGAGGAAACGCAGTTGCCTAAAAATTAAGAGACTATGTTTATACAGGCAACTATCGATCAGGATAATACGATCAGAATCGTAAAATTTGGATTTATTGGTACGCGTTATTGTAACATGTTACAATATTTGCAGAATAAAGTAAATTGCTATTTAGGTTGAATTTTTGTAGGCACGCTCGCGAAGATTTTATTTTGCATAAAGATCCGCAGTCTAGTCATTATATACAGCTCTTAAAATACTCTTATAAATGCTATTCTGCTTTTTACTGAATCAAGGGGAGCATCTGTTCAGATAGCGGAATTATCAAGTAATGGGACAATCGCTCTTCTCATATTAATCTTCATTTATTCAAATGGAGACCTGGAAAATTGCGAGAACGTCCGTGTAGAAATCCTCTGTTCCAATTTCTCCTTACGAAATATAGCGCAAGGAAATTCCAGACGATTTAAAGTCCTTTCTTGAGCCTCATGGTTATTCCTGTCACGGCAGACGCTTCTTTAACGAACCAATTAACACACAATCGTTTCAGTCGCGGTGCAACAGTTTCGCCTTGAAATAGCAATACAAGTGCGAATTAATAACCCCGTCGCGTCAATTCGAACATGTCGAATCGGTCCTGCTTAAAATCGATCGAATTCCAGGGAATTCCAACTTCCGTTTGGAGTGAGTCACCCTCTATACTAATCCTTGAGGACGTCCTCGATAGTAACTATGGAAGAAATGGTAGAAATCCTAGAAAAAATCCACCCAATGATCAACAAGTTTGCGCTCTTTTTTCGTTCGACTTTCCTTTAACAAGGTCTCGATTTAACACTAAAAATAGATCACTTCAAAGAAATTCACTTAGCTTCTGGGAACTATAGGTGACTCTGTATTTAGATAATCCATCGTTTGGACACCTGTGCTCGCACATCTGACACGATTCAAGACATCTATTCTCGTTTACGAAACGCGGCGTTAGTCATCGTTACACCCTATCCATTCTTCGAGAGCCGCTGGCACAGCAATGAAACGTATTACGTATTCTTCACCAGTGTGGTGTCACTGAATTCTAATTACCCGTCTGGTCCCCCGCGAGACGTTATCCGTTACGTCCACGTAGCTCGTAGAATAATTCAACTTTTTTTTTTTTTTTTATCATTAACGTTACCTTTGACCAAAGCAAATTCCAAGTCAGATTTCGCTCCCTATCGAAAACGTGATTGCTTCGTATTATTATACCACGTTCGCTTGGTAACTCGGCTCACAAGGAAAGACGATTCCCTGAACTTTTAAAAATTTGTTATCACAAACGCAATAAAAGACGATGGGAAAGCGTAACGCGACGAGTAAGATGAAACTTATACTCTCAATTTCAATTTATTTAAATTTTTAGGATCGCGTTTAGTGGCTGGAGGTGGTTGGCTAGGAGGAAAACGACCTGTCGCGCAACGTCATGCCGAGCCAGATTGAAATCGAACACAGATCACCGAGACGGTTCTATCGAACTGCAACGAATACGGTAATTGTGCCGCGATCGAATTTACCGGCGGTCTGGGTTCTCGCAATTATCGTTGCCCCGTGAATTTACGTTTCGCGCGGCGGCGTCGTTAACGACGCAATTACGGCTACCGAATTACGCGCAGTTTATTTAACAGCATCGAAATAGCTGTCGGTTGTTCGCGACAATTTCACGCTCGTAATTTCTCCGTACGTTTCTACACGATTATTCCAACGCAGTATAGAAGGAAAGAATAGAAGAAGAAGGTGAAGAAGAGGGTTTTATAGGATAGCGATGTCGGCGCAGTTTCTGAAGGTTTCTTGAGGGCCACAGCCCAAAGCAGAGTGGCCATCGTCGCATTCGCCCCAGTTGTTTCCGCTACGGTAATTCCACCTGAGCACGCAGTGCTCGCACGTGACGTTCTCCGGCAAGCGAGCGGCCACGTTGTACTCCATTTTACCTGATGGCACAGCCACGGTATAAGAGCCATCCGCCAATTGGATTGGGTTCCTATTGAAGCAGTCCTCGGTCTCGAGTTCGTTGGACCGCGTCAGTGGGCACAAATGGAACGTGAAGGTTCCCAGGTGGTTGGCGGTCAGTTTCACGTTTATGTTAATGGTCTCGCCGCGTTTGTACCTGTAAGTGGACGTTTACAGGTCATTCCACCTAGAAGTCGAGCACCTTGTGTGGTATTTCGATGTTTCGTTAAAGTTGAATGCACTTGGGTATTTATTAATGTCTCGAACTGGCAGTAAATGCATCTATAGGTGTTTTAGTTTGACAATTAGGGATTATGATGACTTACTTCTTGACGATCACGCCGGTTCCATAAATGCCTCCATTTTCGTTGGGTCTGGGTCGGGGAAGGGCGTAATCGTCACCGCATTCGCCACATTTTCCACCATTTTGCTGGAATTGAACCTACGTCGAATGGATAATTATTGAAAAACTGTATCGTTGGAAAAGTTTTATTCCTTATTCGGAATAAAATTTGCCTATTTGCGAAGGTAACTCGTTGTGCTACTCGATCGATCATTCTTGCACCCCTGTCTCCTAGCGTTTCTTCTTACGTAACTGCCTCACGGGTTGCCTACTCATAGGCGTAATGTACTTCCAACCGCGCCGGAACATTTGGTTGTTAATTTAATTCAATGTTATCGTTGCTATCGACACTTTCGTAAACTAATACAGTCTCCTTGACAATAAATCTTTCTCACGCCCTAAATCATATTTCCATGCGTTCTTTAACTATTTCTTTAACACTCGACATAGGACAGCAAGGGTTAATTCGATACTTCGTACACGTGCAATTACATTTATCAAACATGACCTGCTGCAACTCGATTTTTCTAGAGAATCAAACTACTTTCATAAAGTGTAACGCAATTCTTACAGTCAGTCCTCCGCAGAACAGCTGGTTGTCGGTGTAATTGGGATCAACATGGAATCCCTTCCTCCAAGCGCTGCTCCTTTGAACAGGGTCCATCATCATCCCGTGGGAGTGAGCCTCGCGCAGGGAAATCCCGATTAGGCTAGCCACTAGCAAGACTTTCGCAAATGTCATGGTTCTATTCGCAGTTCGGCCTGTATAGCGAATGCTCAACGAACTCTGCGTTTTCAAACTGTTTCCTCGACTTCTTGTATTTATATATATACAGTCCACATGGCGGTAACGATTGGTCGACGATTATTATCTTATCAGCCAAATTACGCTGAACGTTTTCAGATGCGAACGTCTAAGTAATCAGAGTTATTCATTACTTCTCGGTGATCTATGTTATCTAGAGATCTTGATATCGAAGTTCGAGGAGAATGACCTAATCGTCTCCTTTTTCTGCTAGATTCTTTTGATTATCGTTTGTCGAGTATGAGAATCTAACAATTTCCCTTGAGTTCGATGAACTAATATTTTGAAATGATCCTAAAATAGAATCAGAAGCTTCCATGTTGTCCAGTGGGTATTTTTATTCAATAATGCATTTTATTTTAATTGCAATGTTCAAATGGAAACGTTTCGCAGTGAAAAATATTCCATTGTTTGATTAGCAGTTTGATCGACGAATGGAATCGTCCAGCAGTTTTCATTCGAGGCTGCGTATATTATCATGCGTGGTCGCACAAATTAAATAGAAATGTTTAAAAGCGTTAAACAGCCATTTCATGTGTTCGTTTTAGATTAAATCGTTCCTCTGTTTGAATTAATTTACATGAATTTCTGTGCCTCTGAAATTCATGGTTACATTCGGTTTACATTTCAGTTATACGTTTTACATAATACACAGGGATTCGAGGTTTCTGGTTGGAGTGATGTCAACGCTCTTCAAGCAGAAAAATAAGATTGGAAGGATTAATTAAAGTAACTATTTTATCTGTAATAATTAGATTCTTTTCTCTCTCCTCTATTTCATGGATATTGGTATGGTATCAATGACCTAGATAAAATAGTGGAGCATAATCTTTCGAAAGTGCTCGAGTTTGTTTTTCTTGAATGAAAACACACAGAATATTAAATCTGTTGATAAGGTTTTGCGCACTTTTATGTAACCTTTCTATTATTATACGATTCGTAAGCGACGCGATTGTATCTGTTCTTTTTTTTTTTTTTTTTATGTTGAATAACAACTGAATTTGTTTGATTAGATTAAGAGACGAACAAGACGATATGATTCAACGACGAAGAACTATTGTTTTATTTGCCTGATCATTGTACGATGAAATAGTTATCGAAATAGGAACGGGAAAAGCTCGGGGCACTTGAAAATATCTAGAGTTCCATTAATCCCACCTTGTATGAATAAACAATGTTATCGAGGAGTAAGTTACACACCATTGACGAGGAAACTCGTCAAGCGTCAATTAAACCTTTGTCTTTCGCCTGGATTTGTCAGATCGAATGACATAACAATCACTATTGGTAACGGTCGATGGATGACGATAACAGAAATTTCTTATCGTATCAATAACGTGTCTCAGCTTTCCACATTCTTAACATGTTACAATGGTTGAATTTCCGATATCAACGATCAAGTATATATCCTCGAACAACATATGTTTTCATAAAATGAAAGAAACGATCGATATACCACAGTAGATAATGCAAGAATCTTCGTTATCGATTGTAGAAATAGGAGGCTGTTCGAAGGAAGCATCAATCGTCGATAATATAGAAACCATTTGATATTCTCTGCATTATCAACGAAAGACACTTTCTTCGGACAGCCTAGCCTATCTGCAATCGATAACGAAGCTCGAAGTAATAGTTACCTACTGTGCTCTTTAGCTGCATCATCGACGTAACTAGAACAAATGTGACCGAACGAGGAAAACTTAGACGTGAACGAAGGAGCACACCAGCACATGGTAACTGTATACCGAGGCGAAAATAACAGCACAGGCGGCAAATATACAACGTACGACATTTATTCTCTCGTTTCCCTTTAATCGATATCCTACGTACGGATAGATACAGAGGATCCTATAAAGGTACATGAATTCTGAAAATTCGAGGAGACACGCCGGCGTACCCTTACGACGTCTCTTCTATTCCGTTTTGTCGTGTGCGTGTAGAACAATGTATGCGTGTGTGCGTATCCATGCCATTTTTCATTCACGGAGTTCTCTCTTGGATTCGTACCGTCACTCGACTCACCCTTCCGTAGGTTTCAAACTCTTATACGTTCTATCTCGTTCATTTCTTTTTTTTTTTACTCAAGTTGTCAAAATTTCTTTCGTTTTATTTTTGGAGGATAGGCCTTGCGAGATGTCACAGTATTTGCGTGTTAAATGAAAACATTAATATTTGGTTTACCTCGCGTTTCGCTCGACTCACTTTTCTTTTTTTTTTTTTTTTTTTTGGATAAAAAATTGAACAGATTTTTGGCCTGAAATCGAGTTCCCGTCGATCGGAAAGCATATTTACAGTGTCCACGGCCGCTTTTGAAGCGTAAAAACGATCGACGCGCTATGGTAGAGCGAGACGGCCACGACTGGGGCTCGGAAAGTTTTTGTGGAATTGTTTTTATTTTATGAGAATGCTATCCGAAGATTTCGAGCTTTAATTAAGCGTATGAATATTCCTGGGGTAATAGGCAGCGTGGACGAGCCTTTCTTTTTTCTTTTTTTATACGGTTTTTCTCAAATTCTTGTAATTTTTTTTCATAGCGATTAGAAACATGTATTGCGATGCAAGATCATTTTCGCGTGATCTCCTATGGAAGGGTCAGCTTCAATGGCAACTTTGACGGACATTTTTGTAAAGTTTCACGTTTCACATATGCTAATTGACGAGTTCAGAAGAAAGACGGTCATGGTCCATTTCGACTAAAAATTGAGATTTTTAGCAGTGGAGTTCAGGAGAAGCAGATTGTAGCGTAATAAGAGGGAAATGTATAGATAATTTAAAAAAGATAAAGGCTACAGAAATTGTGGCGTTACAGAAGAATAATCAAACTTCCATTCGCTACGCAAAGATGAGTCGACCAGCGTGTCTGATTAATTATGGTATAATCTCCTGCCTACAGGGCTACCTTCCGTGCTCCCATTGCATAGTCTAGGAGATTATACCATAATTAATCAGACACGCTGGCCAACTTCTCGTCTCTGCATAGAATATACTCGCGTAGACGTACATCACGAGCAAAAGGACCGGTCTTCTTTCTGCCATCAATATTCTAAACAAATTCATGTTACAATAGCAGAGCGTTTCCGCGAGTAAAATAATAAAAATGAGTACGCTCTTTTTAGAAAAAATAATATCGAGGGTTGGACAAGGTACGACAAGGGTCGTTCAAATTGTTTTCGTCCTGGACTCTTCAATTATTCTCTCTCAATCGTCGTCTTCATTTCCCAAGAAACGTTGACTCGGCCACAATCGACTCACGCTCCGTGACTTGTACTTTCTAAAGGTACGAAGGCGCTGAAAGACCGTAAAGGGTCGAAGGGTGTCGCTGAAACGATAGAATCCGATTATCGATTCTCGCTTGGAGCAAGATCCAACAAAGCAGTTAACACGAACGCTCCCCCCGAACGAACGAACGTATCTCTCATCTCGCAGGTGGCGAGAGTTTAGGGCTCGCGTGACGCGATACGTCATCTTCTCGGCTCATTTCCTGTCCGTCTCGTGTCTTCGTTTTAATGCCACTTGTCAAATATTGTCATGGATTCCCCTTTTTCTTTTGCCTGGCGTTTTCGACGAAGGTGAACGAAGAGGTGGCCCGACTTTTCCAACAAATAAAAATGGCCGCCTCGTCGAGAGGACCCGAATAGATTGAATGGCGTCTCAGAGCTCGGCTGCAGCCAACGATTTGCACTCCCGTAGAAAAAATATTCGCTCGTTTCTCCCGTTGAACTCTTCGCGCGACGAAGTTACACGGTTCCCCTTTTTGCGAAAGCGATTGAAGCTCTTAAATTACACCGTTGTCAGGCGCACCGTATCAGCCCCCTCCCGTCTAATTCCTGAACAGAAGCTCAGTTCGGTTCGGGGTGGAGACAAAATGGCTACTTTGGAAATCGAGAGTCGCAGGTGTTGCTTTTCGATTTACTTGAAAAATACACGGCGTTGAAATTTCAAGAATAACCGCCACGGGTTCATTCGCGTCCAATACAAAATTATTCGCCGCTCCCGACTAATACTTCGTTCGAATATCCTTCGAATCGGGATGTACTCGAAAGAATTCATTCGACATTTTCAAAATGTATTCAAATTCAATTCTGTTCACGAAAAAAAAAAAAAAAAAAAAATTGAGAGTTTTGACGATACTTTGACCCCGACGAAATTATGAAACGAGGGGTAGGCCCCGTGGACGGGTTGGAAGGCTTCGGTGCGCCTTGGCACGGGGCCAGAGAAGGTCGTTGGAAATTGCTTGCAGACATCGCGCAGCCTATCGTCGACGGAACAGACCGGTACGCATCGGACGAGATCGAGGATCTACCGTTAACTTTCGACCTATTTCATCGAGATCGTCCGTCGATTCGTCTCCAGGAGCCCGCTGCTTCCCGCCGCGACGCCTGACGCGCGACGACGCTGCGTGGTCGACGTGGCGTTCGTCGGAGCCGTGGACGTCGTTCCCGTCGTTGTCGTCGATCTCTTCTACAAACAAACAAACAGAATTTCATCACAGTTAACTATTCGACGATCTATCGTTTATTTCATATATTTATTTATTTATTAACGGTGCAGAGTTTCTGTTGAAACAATTTTTCTCCTATCACAAGCTGACGGACAAGCTCTGGAGCACCGTTTCTCCGCTCAAACTTGACTCACCGCGACCGAAAAAAATGACATATTAGTATATTGCCGACGATTGCTCTATATTTCCACAGACTTACCCAGAAATTGGAACCTGAACGATCACGATTCCGTCTTTGTAAGTTTATTTCTCTTGACTTCCTTTTGACTCGGATCGACAGGATTCGACGAAGCAAACGCTTTCAACGGAAACTCGATCGAGGTTTCCGCGGAACGCGATTTCGGTAATGGAACGGAATCACGTGAAAATCCGATAGAATCGAGGCGGTTCGTTCCGAGGCAGCTTTTTGAAGAATTAAACGAATAGAGTCGAAGGAATGCCGGCGATATTTAAGAACGAAAAGCGAAACAGCTGCTGCAGCTGGAGAAGCACTCGAATTGGAAGTAATCC